AGTGTTCCGCCTGCATTTTCCGTCTGTGAAGAGCTCATTTAAACTCAAAGACAGTTGCTCTTCAAAATTCTCGAAGGGAAGCAGCACAATTGGATTTTAGAATAATGGATCAACTTCTCCATCAACTTTGATTTTTCTACCCCCCCCCCCCCGCAATTATATAATTTTCAAAACCGCACCGAGGCAGATGTGTGTTTACTTTGAGAAGTAAAAATGTTAACATTTAAACTGAAAGCCTGTTTCAGTTTTAAGGTACTTAATTGCCTTGCAGCCTGTAATAAACCGAGCCCATCTTGTCATTCAGCTAATGGAGGGAGTGATAGCAAGATAGGAGCCCAGGACCCGATTCATTCCAGTTTCCCTTTGTACTTGGTTTACTTTGGCACGGTGCCGCCTGTGTATTTTACACTTCTTTACATTTTGTACATCCCTGTATGACAAATACTTGTCAAACAAAAACTAAACAGATTTATAACCCCTAAACTTGAAATGAGCCAAAATTGAACTGCCAAAACTTTATGACTTCATTTTCTTTCATAGTTTTCCACTACGTTGGTTCAAACAGACAAACCCCACTTGAGGTCAAGCAGAGGTCATTTCACTTTCATTACTAAAATATAATTTACAATATGCCAGACCTAAACAAGTTTAGCCTAAAGGGTTTGTCTAATGTAAACCATCTGTTCTTCAACAATACAGCTAATTTCCTGCCATCACCCTACAGTCTACTGACTGCTTCTTTAAGGGTTTTTATGATTTTTTAACTAGTTCAGGATTTATGTAAAATTTGAAAATGAGTCTATAGTTAAGACTCATTTGTACCAAGTAACTTGAGCATTTTAAAAATGCAAATCACTGTGTAAATTGTTCCCCTGAAACCCAGCTCTGGGCGGTTTTTTCTGGGTACTTCTTTGCCGGCTGCTGCACAGGTGTTCCACAAAAAGGTTTTCTGAAATCTGCTGTTTCAGTTGCTTCCCGTGCTTCTTTCCAAGGCAAATCCCCAAATTTGGTTATGACCAGCTCTGGTAACTACGCCTTCTCCTACTTTAGGCTGGCGAAGCGTTGGGACTCCGTGCTGTGTGGCCCACCGGGCATTGGTGGGACACAACACACTTGGGGTCAGAACATGCTCCTTCTTGTGTCTGAACAGAGAGAAAGGACAGTGGTGATTCCAGAGTGACCGCCCACAGAAGGCTGACCTCCCTGCCCTGCGAGGAGCCGGGCTGAGTTTGGGCAGAGGCCCCGCACCAGCCGCTCCTTCGGCTCTCCCAAAGATTCTGCCTTCTTTTCTAAGCTTCTTTCTCCATCTGCAAAATGGCAACAGGGAGAGTTCGTCTTCCAAAGGCGAATATGCAAGAAGGAGCTTGCTGACCTCAGTGCAGGGGAATGCGGCCGCCCTCTCTGCCGTGAAGCCCCCGGGACCGTGTGTCAGGCCGGCACCAAGGTCCTGTCCGCCCCTCTCCTCTTCCCGGCCCCAGAAGTTTGGCCTGCTTGCTGCCTTTCCCTTCTGCCACCATCCACTCTTCCACATGGTTCTCGCTCCTCCCGCTCCACCCGCATCGCCCAGAATCCTCAGAGGAGAAGGCCACAGGCCACTCCAACTCTCACCCACCCGAAGGCTCAAAACAGATTCTCTGTCATTTTTTAGGATTTTTTTTAAAAAACTGAAAACTACAGGAGAACAGAGAAAGCCTAACGGGAGGAAACTACACTTTTTTTTTTTTCTAACAGAGAGGGAATTTTAGAAGACTGTCCAGAACTACTTAGGGCTGTAAGTGCACCCAAATCATTTGCGTTGACTCTGCTTTCTGGATGACTTCCGTAATAAGGATAATAAGATTGATTTAAAGAGCACTTACCAGGTGGAAATTGCTTTCGTACATTATTGCATTTAACCTCTACTGTAACTGTGGAAGCTACATATTATATTATTTCGTAGATATGGAAACAGAGGTTCAAAGAAGTTAAGAAACTCACCCCCAGTCAACCAGCTAATATATAGGACCTACCCCATAGGATTGTTATATTAAGTGAGTTAATATCTGGTAAGTGCTTAGAACAGTGTCTGGCACGTGGAAAGTGCTATCGAAATATTAACCGTTAAAAGAAAGCAACAGGTCCAAGACGCAAATGCAGATTCGTCGGAGTCCGGAGCTCACATGGTTTGAATTACCCCACGCTGCCCGTGGCTTCAGCAGGGCCGGGAGGGGGGAGGAGTCCTAACTCATTGTATCCGTCTAACATTCCTCCGGTTTAGTCCTTAATTCTCTTTTTCCCTCAAAAGAAGTTTATGACTCAGTCCCTTGCCCTTCTCTATCACCAAAAGCCCAGGGATCCTGTTTAGATAAAAAAAGTAAGTAAGACCTACTATGCCATTTGAGGGACCTTCACATAAATTGGATTCATTTACATCATTAGGAAAACTTCTGATGGAAATCCCAATGTTAGCGTCATCCGGGAAAAATTCACCTTGGGTTACTCTTGCCACGAAAACAAAATTATGTGAGCATGCGGACCACAGGAGAAAAAAGTAGGGTTGGTTCAGCTGGCGGCTTTCCCATCCCCCACGTGCTCTTCTCCCAAAGGAACGCCAGAGCTTCCATGAGAATCCAGATCCTCTCAGCAAAAGCAAAAATAGTGGATGGGCCTGTGATTGTGGAAGAAATTTCCAGATTTAGTCAGAGGAAAAGATTGGTCATATGTTTTCTAAAATTATTTACTTTTTTGAATCGGTCATCTATTCGCCTGGTTCAAAAATTTAAAAGTATGAAAAAGCATGAAGGGACACATCTCCCACCTCCCCCGGCCCCAGTTCCCGCCTCCACAGCCCCTCGAGGACCACTGCTGTTCTCAAGCATCCTTTCAGAGGTGCTTTACGCCTATGCAAAGAAATATGAAGGGAGTCATTCCTTTTCTCCTCCTCTGTCACACAAAAGCAGCATATAGCATTAACTGTTCTTTTGCTTTTTACTTTTAATTTAGGATGTTGGAGATCTTTCCATATCAGTACTTAGAGGATGTGCTCATTCATTCTTACAACTGTGTAATATTGCATTTACTAGCTCCTCCCTAATTACTGTAATGTCCCCTCTAGGCAGACATTTAGGCTGTTTCTGACCTTTTGCTCTTACAAACAATACCACAGTGAGTAGGACTGGACCAATAAGCTGTGACTACTGAATGTTTAAAGCAAGGCATTGCCACTACTTTCAGCAGAAGTGACTTTTCTATAAGACATTTCCAAATACAAACCCCATAAAATCTGTTTTAATGAACAAGTGAGCCCTATGTATAATACGAAATATTATTTGCATGGAAGAATTAATGTTACAAAAAACCTCAGTCCCATTTTGTCCTTTTAAGTGGGTGTTTTGCAGCAAGTTTATTTATATTTATAATTAGGTTAGTGGGCGTTTTGCCCTGGAAAGTATCGGCCTAGAACAAAGCCAGTCACCATGAATTCTAAATTAGTAGAGTTTGGATTAGAGAAATTTTTTACTTAAGTTTCTAAACTATTGTTTTAAACTCTGTACAGAGAGCTCTGAATTCCAGATATATTTGCAACATTGTCGCCTTCAATTAGGATGCTCAGAGCAATTGATTCTTTTCCTAAAAGAATTAAGGATTTAACGTGCAGAGATTATTTTAACAATCAGTTTATGTACAATGCATTGCTTTTATGACTTTTTCCCTAGTAAATTAGACTAAACTTCGGATTAGATTTGAAGTGAATTTCAAAAATAGTAAAAACACATGACACTATAGACATTTACTGCCAAAATCAAATGTCACAACTTAATACTTATCTTCACCAGGAGCGGGTGCTTTCCTCTGTCTGTTTTAAGGTCCATCAGTAAACAACCCACTTTCGAAGCCGTAGGGACATCAATTATTGTGAAGGGCAAAGGCTCTTCAAGAAATTGACATCGATTGAGAGGACAAAATACATTCACGAAAAGAACAGCGACGGCAAGGTGACACTGGCGACAAGTTAGTGGCGCCCCCGTGTGCCAGACCCCGTGCTGAGTACGTTACAGACGTTCCTTATTCGGCATCCACAAGAACCCCACAAGATGAGGATGATTATTATCAATTATCATCGTCCCATTTTATAGATGAGGGAATCGAGGCCCAGGGTGAAATGCTGTCCCCGGGTCCCGCGGCTGGGAAATGGGAAAGGCAGGATTCACAGTCGAATGGCCTGACTGTGGCGGTCAAACGTGTGTTTGCACGTGGTTCTTTCCGACGGGAAAGCAAAGGGACTGCCGAGGAGGCAGAGGCCACCGCGGTCAGGGCAGTTTCAGAGGAAGAGAGAATGTGATAGGAAGAGGGGGCAGCGCATTCCACCTCACTCCCCAGGAGCACAGCCTTTGGTTTTGCTTTCTCCCGCTTGTCACTCAGTAGATTTCCTAAGAACTGGTGAGCACTGTAGGAACAGGGCATTGGGCAAGAATGTGCGTGGTGTGGGGGGTGGACACGGAGGAGACCTGTTTAACTAAAGCGAGGCTGTCATATGGCAGAGGGGCCAGGGAAGGTGGTCGCAGTCACTCCAAGTGCCCGGCTAAGAACCAAAGCCGCACTCTCACTTCTCAAGCAGCACGTCTCATACCCCGGCATCAATGAGGTCACTGCGGTCTCGCCAAATGCACAGTCTCATTCCGGGGGGTCCGAGGTGGGCCCCCGAGTCCTCACTGTGGTACACTTTGAGTGATGCTGGTGTCGCTGGTCTCAAGACCACACTTGGAGGAGCAAGACTCTAGGCAACAGCAGGGAACCGTTGCTGGAGCAGGAGGCTGGGGGGGTGGGGAGGGCGAAACAAATTTGCCTATGGCGCCTCTTCTGAGTTGCAGCCAACAATTTTAAAGACTTACAGACCCACGATATTTTATTGAATCTGAGGGATAGAACCTTTCTCTGTACGCCCCACCTCTCCTTGCAGATGCCAAGATGTCTTGCCTTAAGAAATGTTTTAAGCCACACTTTTCCTTTCTTTCTTGCAGAGCAAGGCCAAAGAGCTGCCACTTTCTGCTGTACGTTTTATGGAAGAACTGGGGGAATGTGCCTTTGGAAAGATCTACAAGGGCCATCTCTATCTCCCAGGCATGGACCACGCTCAGCTGGTGGCTATAAAGACCTTGAAAGACTATAACAACCCCCAGCAATGGACAGAATTTCAACAGGAAGCCTCTCTGATGGCTGAACTACACCACCCCAATATCGTCTGCCTTCTGGGTGCCGTCACTCAGGAACAACCCGTGTGTATGCTTTTTGAGTATATGAATCAGGGGGATCTCCATGAGTTTCTCATCATGCGATCCCCACACTCCGATGTTGGCTGTAGCAGTGATGAGGACGGGACTGTGAAGTCCAGCCTGGATCACGGGGATTTTCTGCACATTGCAATCCAGATTGCAGCCGGTATGGAATACCTGTCAAGTCACTTCTTTGTCCATAAGGACCTGGCAGCTCGCAATATTTTAATCGGAGAGCAACTTCACATAAAGATCTCAGACCTTGGGCTTTCCAGAGAAATATACTCCGCCGATTACTACAGGGTACAGAGTAAGTCTTTGCTGCCCATTCGCTGGATGCCCCCGGAAGCCATCATGTATGGCAAATTCTCTTCTGATTCAGATATCTGGTCCTTTGGGGTTGTCTTGTGGGAGATTTTCAGTTTTGGACTCCAGCCATATTACGGATTTAGTAACCAGGAGGTGATGGAGATGGTGAGAAAGCGACAGCTATTACCGTGCTCTGAAGACTGCCCCCCTAGAATGTACAGCCTCATGACAGAGTGCTGGAACGAGATTCCTTCCAGGAGACCAAGATTTAAGGATATTCACGTCCGGCTCCGGTCCTGGGAGGGCCTCTCAAGTCACACAAGCTCTACCACTCCTTCGGGAGGAAATGCCACCACGCAGACGACCTCCCTTAGTGCCAGCCCAGTGAGTAATCTCAGTAACACCAGATACCCGAATTACATGTTCCCGAGCCAGGGTATTACACCACAGGGCCAGATTGCCGGATTCATTGGCCCACCAATACCTCAGAACCAGCGATTCATCCCCATCAATGGGTACCCAATACCTCCTGGATACGCAGCATTTCCCGCCGCCCACTATCAGCCAGCAGGGCCTCCCAGAGTGATTCAGCACTGCCCGCCTCCCAAGAGCCGGTCCCCAAGCAGTGCCAGCGGGTCCACTAGCACTGGTCATGTGACCAGCTTGCCCTCATCAGGATCCAATCAGGAAGCCAATATTCCTTTACTGCCACACATGTCGATCCCAAATCATCCCGGTGGGATGGGTATCACCGTTTTTGGCAACAAATCTCAAAAACCCTACAAAATAGACTCAAAGCAACCATCTTTGCTAGGAGACGCCAATATTCATGGACACACCGAATCTATGATTTCTGCAGAACTGTAAAATGCACGACTTTTGTAAATGTGGTATACAGGAAAAACTAGAAGACCGTAGAAAAGATTTATCTTCAAATGTTTTTATTAAAGTAAGTTTCTCATTTGGCAGACATTGCAACAAGTATCTTCTGTGAAGTTTAACTGTGTCTTACCAAGCAGGGCAGACACCAGCCAGAAAAAAACGCTGTGGGATTAACACTCCATCAGGGTGCACGCCCTGGCGTTGGGAATGGTACATCTGGTTTCAAGTACTGAAAACTGCAAACCAGTGAGGAGGAGAAGCAGCTCGTGATTAAGTATCAAACCAAAAAGGAAAGTCAGATGGTGCCTTGTGTGTCCGCCTTCGGTCACCACGACCGGTCTCTCCCTGAAATGTATATACCCTAGCGTTTGTCTACCTGCTGTCTCTTCTTCAGGACAGATGTTCAGGAATGATGTTGATTCAGTTTAGACTCTATGCATGTTTGTATGGAAGTGCTGTTCAGAATCAATGAGGAAACCTAGGCCAAATTTGAAATCCTAGATGGAAACGAGCCATAAGACAAGTGTAAGATCCCCTGAAGCCTTCTGCACAGTGGGGCTTCTCTGGAAAGGTGCAGAGTGTGTCTCTTTGTGAATCTCCTCTGCTGATCGCGAAGGCCTTTTCCACGTTCTCCTTTGCCACAGTGTTTACACAAGCCCTTGAAATAACGTAGGGCATCAGACCATAAGAAGGCTAGATGTGGATGCTGGAATTGATTGTTGGTTGATAGTTCACTTCATTGCATTAGAAATGAGGCACCAAAGGAAGCATGGTCAGGAAAATGGCCCCTGGGCCTAGGTCAGCATCATGGGAGAGGAACAAGGGTTTCCATGGCGACAGCCTCCCAGAGTGTCCCTGGACCAATAACATTGAAGAACAGAGGTGTGGCTGCAGACCAGCACATGGGTGCTTGCAACCTCCTGCCTGTCAGTCATCCAAGGTCTAGGGGCGCTGACCATCAGTGGCCTCTGGGCGCGTAGGAAACTCCAAGACAACAATATCTAGTCAATTTAAAGTTTCTTTCACTTTTTTTTTTTTTTTTCTGAGCTGGGAGTGTTCACGGATTTTATTCCAGCACCAAGAGTTATGACAATTTATTCATAGAGTTAGGTGGAATCCAAAGACTGAATTCTATTTTGCAAAATGTTACAGTATTTTTAAGAAACAAGTACTGTACTGAGTTCTCACTTCAAAGATTACCACAAACTGAATTTTTTAAGCTGGTAAATAGAAGAAGCAACATGATCGTTTTTGCCTCACTCAGAGGGAGGTATCGAATGTGCCTCTCGGGCCATTGGTCTGCTAGCCATTTCTGCCAAGTTTAGAATTCTTCTGGGTTTCAAGTTCTATATAGAAAGGAATGTTATTTTGATTTTTCTCGTGTTAAAAAAAGTAATTCCTTTATTCTAAGAACAATGTCTCAAAGTCTCATTGTTTTATTTTACAGCTAAAGAGACTTATAAAGAGACTTACAGGATATAAAATAATTCCTGGAAATGATATTTGATGAGGAGACTGTAAGAGAATTAGCAGCAGGTTGGTGTTTCAATTTTGTAAAAGAAAACACAATTAGGATGAAAAATCAGGAAATACATTTACCAAAATGTGTTGTAATTTTCCCAAATGCTGAATCTTCAGACCACAAATGTGGACTTACAGGTACTGTGGACTCGAAGGATTGGCTGTATCCAGATTTATTTGGGAGATAAATTAAGACGTATTTTTGTGGCATAAATAAGGTGATTCCGAAGTGACATTTCTTAACTTTAGGTGGAGGAGAATATTTGTATCCTTTTGTTGCTATGCAACTGTATAATGAGGAAGAGTCAAACCACAGTTTTGTATATCATACGACAATCAATTGCTTTCCAAGAATATTTATTATTTTAATTAAACACGATTTCAGTGAATCTGAGTTTTTCTGGGAGTCCCTTAAAGGGAAATCAGCATTCCATGAGCCAGTAAAATACCTACTCTGGAAAAACATTACTATGCTTAAAAAATAAATCCAAGTTAGTTTTTTATAAAGAACTAGAACATTTATTGTAAACATTTTATAATTACTGAAGTCATCAAGGTGAGCAAACTAAACTTCAAAACCACTTGTAATGTGTTTTATAATAGCACTATGATGCTACGTAACACAGTCCCTTTTGTATTAAAATAGTATTTTTTTCACAGACTGAAAAATATCTTTTGCTTTGTTGACAATGTTTTGTAAGATGACTTTATTTTCAGATCTTTCCCCTTTTTTGCACAAAGCTCTGTTTATGGTTTGTATCACCGAAGTGAAAATATATCTCTGCATTTTTATATCTGGTCTGTTTCCTTGTTTCCTGTGTTTATTTTTAACTCGATATAGATTTTCTTCAAATATATAATGGCAGTATTCAGATATCGCGCCCTCCCATATCTTTCCTTACTTTCACTGCATGCGTTTAATCACTGTATTACTTAATGTTTGATTTGTTATTATGGGCATTTGGAATACACAAGCATGGAATTGTAATGACAGACAGACTTTTATATTGAGGATATATGCATTTGTATTTCACTCACCAGAGATGCTATTAAACACTGATTATTTTATGCTGCTGTTTATTAAAATGTTTACCATTAAATATTATTTCCTGAATATTGATATCATGGAGGTGTTTGGGCATTTTAAATATTATTTCTCCTAATGATTGACATTTCATAGAAAGGAAATCAAAATTCTTATTTACTGATATTTCATTGAAATAATTTTTTTAAGTAAGCTTTTAAAATAGACTTGGGCATTGTTTTGCTAGAGCTCATAGATGGAAAGGAAAATCCCAATGATTTCATGACCATATTCTATCCACTTATATGTGGGCAAGGTTTTAATTTTTAAAACCAAAATAATATATTGAGTAATTACGTTACAACCAAATGAAATGTAAAAATTTGTTTTAAAAGTTGAATCCTTTTCTGCCTTAATGTTTCCATGTGAACTTAGACATCAAAAATCGTGTCTTAGAACTCAAAAGAAGAAAAAGCTGTGTACATCATAGCATGTTCAATTCAGATTCCAACCATATTGATAAAATAAAAGAAATGTGACCATTTAATTGTCACAGCTTATCTTTATGACCTTATTTGCCCAAAAGAAAGAGTTCCCCATCTGGCGATTAAGACACTGTCAAGGAAAATGAGTATCATTATGGAAGTTCAAAGAACTTTCCATTTCTGCTATTTAGTACAGAAGGGAAGACAATAAAACCTTCAGGGCCTTATCCATCTGTTTTAGGTCCAGCCCCTGTCACCACCTCAGCAATCAGACTGAATGAAGCCGTCACTTCACATGGCAGCGCCATCGTGTCAGACTGGGTTTCTCCCTCTCACTGGAATTCCTCCATGTGCCCTTCCCGCCCTTGCTCCTTATGGCTCTCCAGGCTCTTCCTCTCCCACCACCCCAAGTCCCTCAGCTCTGTGATTTGGGTCTTACCCTTAATTCTCTAATCACCAACATCTGCAGGCTCGCAACACCACCTCAGATAACGCCTACCACAAACCGCTAAATACTGACCAAAGAGAAGCTCTATTACCTACACTCCTTCGAGATGATTACCTCTCCCACTGTTCTCCCAGTGTGGTCCGCAGCCCAGCAGACCTTGGAACTTCTTAGAAAGGCAAATTCTCAGGCCCTACTTCGAAGGACTGGATCAGAAATTCTGGGGGTGGGACCCAGGAATTTGTGCTTAAACAAGCCCTCCTATATTCTGAAGACTGAGAATCACAAAGCCAGCCTAAAGGCATGAGGGTCATTACAGCCTTAGTAATGTATGTAAGCATTTAATAATAGATTAGCCACTTCAGTTCCCTTAAAGGAATCAAGTTGTACTTAAAAAAATTCAGCACTAAAAACTTTTTGCATTCATTATTTGACAATTGGTTATGTTTTTTTGTAGTTGTTCACTTGAAGAGAAAGCTAACAGCTCCTAGCCTTTGTCAAGAATATACTCCTTGTCTAGTTCACTCAAGACCCACATTCCTGGATGCTGACCAAGAGCTTTCTCCTTCGTATGGACAAGCTCAAAAGAGTTGATCTCTTAGTGTACCTTTTTTGACTCCTTGCCATGATGATTAACACAACTAAAAGAACTCTCTGTGTTGCAACTGGACAAAGTTAAGGTCAAGGATAGGCCAGTCTTTCTTGGGAGCAAAGAAGGCCCAGCTCCCAGTAAGCATCAAGCAGAAGCAGCTGCAGAGGGTCCCCACCCCGACCCCACCCCCGACTTCTTGTGACAACCTGACCCAGTTGGCTGGATGTGGTCACCTGTGGCTTGTTCCACTGGGTCCCTTTGCCAGCTGCCATCCATCCATCCTCTGGCCGCCATGAGCACGCCTCTGCTCAGGCTAAGTTCCCCACTTACGCCTTTGGAGGGCCGAAAGCTCTGAAAGAGGACAGCAAGACAGAACCAAGGGAGGTGACGGAGGTGAAGCTCATCCTCTTTGTAATTCATAGAGCTTTTATTTTTTCAACCAAGAGTTCAAATGCCAAGGAGGAAATGCTATATCTGAGGAGCAGAAGGAGCAAGGGAGCACAGACATAAGAGGAAAATTTTTGCAGCCAAAATATGACTACACCTGAAGTTTCTTACCATCAATGCCAAGAGTATTAGGATACTGTTAACTCAGAGGAAGGAGAGCCTTGCAAACCATCAAAGCGCTCGAGGTCAGGGTGATCCTCTGGGAAATTAGGCTGGGAAGGCTTAGAAACGCAGAGACAGATAGGGAAGCTCTGCTGATGTTTTTATGACCAGCCTATGAGTTGCTTCTTCACAAAGGTGTCCTATAGCCTTTGCTGCCCAGGCCTGATGCGATGCTCGTCCTTATCGAAGTGACCAGGTGAGTAAACATTCTAATCCAGCAATGGTTAAATTAGGAGAAAGGCCCCTCTTTAAAATTAGATAAGGCATTACTTACACTTTTAAAAGGATCACTATCTTGGCACGCTGAACTAAAGATAATTCAGTTCAGGGAATATTCAAATTGAAGGAATGTGCTTCTAAATGTCAATCTTCATGGACCTGTGTTCTTGATTGTAAATTCAAATACATGCAGAGAGCAACAGAGCCAGCGGCCAGAGCCACAGGTTAATACTGCAGCCCTCCTGGCACCTGCCTCAGAAACAGGTGGCGATCAGACTCCATCCTCCAGGAGGGGCTGTGCAGCCCACGTGGTCCTCGGGCATCAGAAGGATGACGCCAGTCGTCCTTGGGGCCCATTCTAATACATTCCCAGAAAGGGTTCTTTTGCGTCTACACATGTTAAAAATCACTTGAAAGGAGCTGAAACTCCCCAATGGCATGGTCTAGGTAGTTTACTAAGAGTCCACTGAAGAAGAATACTTTTCAGGCAAAAATGACAGTTTAGGACTTAATTGTACTTTCAGGGCTCCCTCTGGCAATAGAGCATGTTTGTCGTGTTGGTCAGCATGGCTGGAGTAGGAACTCCGGAATCTCAGGGGTCCGCCTTGGGAGAGCAGACGCTTATTTCTGGCTCACGTGGGTCAGCGGAGGTGGGTGTGCTGCTGCGCTGCCCCAGGTCTCTGCGGGACCGGCTGTTCCCAGGCACAGGGAGACGGGCCGGCGGCAGAAGTGGAACACAATCGCTCAGGAAGTTCTGCTCAGACGTGCTGGAGAGCGCATCCTCCTCACGTTCTCTCGGTCAACACGCACGCCCAGGCCAAACCCGACCACAGGGCGGGGCTGCGTCTCGACCTCCTGAGAGGCCCTGCAGGTCACACTCACGGCCAGGGATGTAGAACCTTCTTGAAGGGAAGGAGAGGAACAGCGGGAACAGTAACGCGATCCCCAACCCGGCTGAAGCCCCGAGTGGACAGAGTCAGCATAGCAAACCCACCACACCACGGCCCTTCCGGGCTGGGCTCAGATTTAGCCTTGAAATTTTCCACATATGGCCCTGGATAAGCTACTAGTCAGTCAGAAATGGCAGCGGACACGAAATGATTAGCTGTCCCTGCACTAGAGCAATAGTTGTCAAACCAGGTTATTATCACAATCTTCTGGGGAGATTCTAAAAATTATAACTTCTCAGGGACACCCCGGAAGGTACCAGAAAAGTTACGTGAAAATCTCCTATAAATTCCTCAGACATAGCATACAACCCTGTGCGTCTAGGACCCCCTCCTTCGCGGGACCTGGATGAAGAGGATGGGGCACACAGCACGTGCCTTCTAACTGCTCTGCACAACCCCCAAACCACCTCGAGGAAGAAGGGGGTCTCTCTTTCCTTGTCTGTAAATGGGGTAAATGCGGCACAGAGCTTAAGGGTAAAGGTCCTGAGGTCGGATTTCCTGGGCTTGTCTCCCCTTCACCCCTGGTAACCGCGTGAATTTAGACAAGTTGCTGAACTATTTCTTCACCTGAAAAAGTATCCGCTTCATAGAATTGGAGCCAATTAACGAAAGTGAGCTACTTCATGTCAGCTGCAGAGGAGAGCGCCTGACGCGAAGTTCTCAAAAAACAGCCTGCACAGTTTTATAATTTTTCTATAATACCTGTCTTTCAGAGTTGATATGAGCATTCAATGAGAACGTATATAAATACATGAGAAGTATCTAGCACCTAGTAGGCACTCGAAAAGTGGCAATATCGCTGTTATTTAATGTTTTGGACAATTTCCATCAAGGGACACATAATTTTCTAAAGTGGTAAAATATTTAGAGCACAAAGTATTCTACTTTATCGTTCATGCGTGTGCCATCGCGTAGAACACCCAGGACTGGCGCCGGTGAGGCGGGGCGCGCTTAGCCCCTCAACAATTTCCATCATCTCCCTTCAAACCTCCCCTAATAAATACACACTAAGTAAAAACAGCTTCAAGACACATCCCTAAGCCATCCCCAGACCATGTGTCACCCCATACACCCCTCCAAGCCTGCTGCCTCCTCAAAGCCTCTGCTGGGTGGAAATTCTGGAACTACCCCAGGTCAACTGAGTGCACCATGGAAAGGTATGGTAAAGTGATACATGCGAAGGAGGCCTGGAATAATGTCATCCTTGAAGCAGGTCCTCTCCCCATCCCCACACACGCTTCACAGTCACAGTTGTACTCCGATCCTAGGAGATGCAGGGTCTCTCGATAATTAGCGTTCCCACGTTGGAAACGAGTGAAAGGAGACCTGGTCCTCCAGAAGCGCTTCGGGGCATGGAAAGCCCCAGGCAGCCATCGCACCCCTGCTCACAGACATCCCCCCATCTGCTCCGCACGGAATTCTGAGATTACCTTTAGGACTTTGATTATGGGGTTTGGGCACCAGCCTGCACAGAAAACAAATCGGGTTCCTTTAAACCACAAGCTCCAAAAAGAAATAAACAGCTTCACCAAGTCGTCTCCACCATTCCCACCCTGGAGGCGTCCTTGATGCCCACGTCAGGGTGACCGACTGTGCCAGTTGACAGGGACCATCCAATCTTAGCAGTGAAAGTCCTTTGTCCCAGGCAGGCCCCCAGTCCCAGGCACACCTGCACCCTTGGTCACCCTAGCTAAAGCCAAGACGGCGAAATAAAAGCCAGCATGTGTGGACTCTGAGTCCCTCTCTGTTGGCAGACACAAAATTAGATGTAAATGGTGGTCAGGTGTCCCCGGCAT